CAAGTTGTTGTTGAGACTCGGTTTTATGCCTTAGGATTTGATTCAACCTTAGTTCATAATTGGCCCTCTCTAGATATCAATATCTAATTTTTCTAAGTAAATTTTGCTAGAATTTATTCTTAACTTCTTTCTTAAGATGCTTATATTATTTATTTTTCCAATCTATTTTTTTTTGCCTTATTTATGGTCCTACAAAGTAAGTAGAAGTCACTTTAATAAAAAATTAGTACTACTATTAAAAGTTTTACTACCTTCCTATCTTTTATTCATATTTTTTTACTCTATCTTTTAACTTGGCTCTTCTATAATAAGATCCATATTATCATCTTTCACCATATAATTGTATTGGAATACGACATCCATCTCCTCTGAACTTGTGCATCTTCTGATATGTACCAAATAATCCAACTTTGTTTGATTCATAGTATATTTTGAATGTCCTCACCTAATTCTTTTTTTTCATATTTTCTATTCAAATCAAAATCATCTTGTTGTCTTAAAAAATTTATGTCTTCAATAAAGTTTTTTATATTTATTTATGTTTGTTTTTATTATAATCTTGTATAACATCTTTCATATCTTCTTGAATGCATCCTTGTGAAATATCATAATCTTTTGTTGTTTCAAAGCATTGTATAATCTCATAATATTGAGAAATTTTATGTCCTTTTAAAATCTCATGCTCTTGAAAAGTCTCATAACTTTCATGATAATCTTTTGTGGTTTCACAACCACATTTAGTATCATAACTTTGTGCAATCTCATAACCCTCTCTATAATGATGATGTAAAAATTCATAATTTCTTTTATCCAACCGGTATGTGGTCTCATAGCCGTATGAAATTTGACTTTCATCATCATCCCCATGTATATTCCACCACTTTGTACATCATAATATTGTGAATTTATATAACTTCTATGATCGTAACTTTGAGTAGATCCATAATCCATCTCTTTTGAAGGCTCAACCTTAAATTCTTCAATATATTCCAAAGTATTGGATAAAAAATCTTCACTTCCTTCAAATATAAAAAATACCTTTTTATCACCAAGATATTTTCCATCCAAATTGCCATCACCAACTTGCTTAAATTTACTCAATGTAGAATAGCTATAGCTTCCAATTGCATTGTCATTAGTTTCCAAATCCTTGATCTTCATATTACCTTCAAATTTTTGGAAACATGGCATTCTATAGTAATATTTTGAAAAGAATCTTTGTTCTCTCTTTCACCACCCTTGATATAAGATCCAATTTCTTTCATTGATAAAGAATTAGCTTCTCCATTAAATTCCTCCATTTTTTCTTCTATTTTTTTTTTTTTTTTTAAGATTAGTCCTTTGTATTGATAAAGATGACACAGAAGCTAGATTAGAAGATTTTTTAGGCCATATTGCAACTCCTTTAGCTTGTGCTTCTTATTGCCTTGCTAAAACAACCACTACTTCTTTCAATTTCTCTCAAATATTGATAAAATCTCTCTCCATAGACTCATCTACAAGAAGCATAAAAAGCTCATATTCTAAGGCATCATCAAGACCATTTAAAAATAACTCTATCTTTAAAACACCCAATGATCGTCTCTCTAAGGATGAGAGTTGATAAAATCTCTTATCAAATTCTTCTAAGAATTCATAAAGATCCATATGCTTGCATGGTTGCAACTCTATCCAATCCAAAAACTTTTTCTTGGTAATCTTATCCTCATCTCCATCAATAAATTCTTTCTTCAAAAGTTCTTAAAAATTTGACCATATTTCTATACCCCTTACAAGCAATCTCTTTATTTTTTTATGAAATCTAGGTTCAATAGCAAAATAGAAGCTTGAGATCATCTTTGCCTTAGAAATTAGTATGTCTCCATTTCACATGTATAAACTTATAAAAACTTAGTGATGTTGCATCCTTCAAATCTCCCAAATTTGTTGATGACTCCTTGCAATGCTCTTGTGATATCTTTTTCAATTGCTTGCATTCTTTATTACTCAACCATGAATATATAAGAAGCTTTAAAAAGTTCACTAATATTTGATCCATCTAAAATATTCGACATATCCAAAGATCTTGATGATACATCTTCTATTTTGTTCTACAATGATAAAAAAATGTTCCTTGAAATACTCCAATAAATACCTTATGATACTTCAAAATGCTGCAATGTATGTATAAAGCTTTATAGTATTCCATGATAATCCAAATATTACCATTGTATTCTAAGATAGTCTCCAAAGCTCCAAGAATTCAAAAGCTCCAATTCATGCACCACCTAAAGCTTTTTTTTTTTTTTTTTTTTTTTTTTTTTTTTTTTTTATAGTTTAAATAATCTAAGATAATCAAATACCTTTCACTTCAAGCTTTTCACGTCGGGTTCACCAAATATGTTATAATACATGAAGTCTTACTTAAGAATGCTTCGGATACCTGGCTGTGGAAAATAGAATAGAAATTGCTACAACAAAATCATAATTCTAATAGAACACTAACAATGCTAAACAAGCATTAATCAAATTCAGAGAAACCTCAAAAGAATTACAAAGAAACAATAAGAAAACTTAAAGAAATATTAGAATGATTATAAACATATCTCAAATACATCTCAATTCAATCCTACAAAGTAAATAGAAGTCACCTTTCTAAAAAGGACGCATTGGTATCTTTTAGTTTTACTACCCTTCTGACTATTAACTATATTTCTAAGATAATTTGTTCTAATACTTTGAACTAAGATCTCCTACATTATAATAATTTCTACACTCTTTCACTAATTAGTCGTTTTACTTCACGACAATAGGCGTTTGTGGCCATTCATTATAATGATTAGGATGAATACTTAACACCTTTAGAATTTGCTTAAAATGATGGTATTCAAGCAAGTACTAGTCATTCACCATTTTTTCTTAATACCAATCAACATCCAATTACAACAGTAATTCTCCATTTTCCCATCCATATCAACAATTCAATAATAAAGGAATTTATACAATGGCTTATAAGACGCACAGTATCGCCTTCTTATTGAACAGATTGACAAAAACAATATATAAATAACCATTGGTAACATAAGATCTTTCGGAAGGGTGTTCATGTGTTACTTTCCAATGTTAACTTGCCACTTGTTATATCAAACCAAATTTGTAAAGTAACACTTTAGTGGCTTAGACCTTTCTGCATTTTTGCAGTGATTTTTGATGTTGCATACCACCTTGAACTTTTGCCATATATTTGAGTCCATCCAGTCTTTTATGTTTTGCAATTGAAGGAATTTCATACTCAGTTAAAGCGTTTTCTGGATTGACATCAACCACCACCACCACTCGTCATAGTTGATGATCAACAAGAATATGAAGTGGACAATATTTTGAAGCATCGCTATATTCATTGTGGCAGTGCACATCTACAACTTTAGTACAAAGTTCTTTGAAAAGGTTATCCTATTCACGATGCAATATAGGAACTTGCACAAATCTCACCCTTAGCCAAGAGACAATTTGGAAATACCATTGAGAGCGAAACGAGGATGTTCTACATTAATGGAAGAAGATTAATTATAACAAGGTATAGATAAGATTATATAGATAGTTAAAACCATGGAAGTTTCTAGAATTGGAGTTAGGTTAGTGGACTAGATATGATCCACCGTAGAACATTCTAGAAAGAATTTAGGGTGGTTATTTAAGTAGGGCCTACCTTAGAACCTTTTAGAAAAAGAATTTAAGTCACTTATCTAAGTAAGGCCTACTACTTAAGAATATTCCAAAAAAATTATTTTCACTATTTGAACAATTATTACAATGGTTTTAAGTGCTTGAAATTTAAAATAAGAATGTAAAATATTGAGATGTTACTTAAACTTTGTACCATGTATGACAGTAATTCTATTTTATATGTTTGTTACAGCAAAAAATATGAAGAAGTTTAAATTCCAGATATCCAAACCTTTCATGAATAATTCAATTATTTACTTGCTTCTCTAGTTGAGTATAACCTGTCATTCATGACTTCAAAATCAATTTTATTTAAGCATAAGAATTTATATATTTACCAAATAATCCACATTTCTACATATATATAGAAATATATATATATATATATGTATTTAGAATTTATTTATTCAATATTTTTTAATAAAAATTATAATTCTAATTTTATTCTATATTAAAATTTTCAATTAGAAACACTTTTGTTTACATATTAAGTTTGATATACCCATGAAATTCTGAAACTTGATTTATAAACTTGTGTAATTTTAAACATAAAAAAATAATAAACATAAATTAATTTTGTTTGTACCAAACGAAAATCGTATATATATTGATATACAAAATATGACATGCTATTACATATTTTAATTCTAAAATTCCATCAAAATTTAAACTTTCAAAGAAGCTTGTAGAACTTAAGTTTTCCATTCAAATAATTAAGTTGTGACATAAAATGTATATATATATATATATATATATATATATATATAAAGATTTAGATAGAATGAATTGTAATTTTAAAAACACATAATTTTTTTAAAAAATCTAAACACTTATTACCAAATATTTGTTTTTAAAATTTTTCATGTGCAAAAGCATCCCAAATATAAAATTTTAAAATTGAAAACAAAAACTCAAAAATGAAGAGAAATATACATTTTTTTTTTATTTTATTTTGGAAATTTATACACCATGGAACAATATACTTTCAATGAGTAACAATCTTCATCAAAAATTCATCCAACGATTGGCGACGAAGCCTTGCGAAGCCATGCATCCATCCATAAAGAGGTTGAAACCCTGCAGAGTAATCTATCCATCCAAATATGGATGAAACTATGTAAAGTCATCCATACATCCGGAAAGTGGATGAAACCCGACATTGTAGAGAAGGGCCTCGAGTTAGGGCATTACGCAGAATGACAAGTGGCAGCACCATTACGCGGTGACACGTGTCTCCCACCCAGCGCTCTCACAGATTGAATGCTTCTTCTTACTCTGACCGGAGTTGCCAACTTCACAATATCGGCGGCAATTGTACAATTGGGTTCAATTTTTTCTCCAATTACCGTGCTCCTGTGTCTCTTCTCTACAGTAGAATTGAACCCGTGTTGCGCAATTTGTTTTCAGAATGTCGTCTGCTGTAGGTGTTATACCATGCCCTTGGAGAATGGCTCCATTCGAGGACTCTGATGCTCAAAAGGAGGAGGAGGAGAGCAGCCGTGTGGATCAGGACACGGCTGCTGAAGCTCGGGGAGTCACTGAGGTGTGAGACGAGTTCCTGTGGTAGTTTGTGACTTGGGTTTGTTTTGTAACTTGGTTATTTTGGATATTTGTAGAGTTCTTGGTTAATTTTGTACCGTGACATGCATGAATAAAGCAGCAGATGGTTGATTTGATTTTCATAATGATGTTGTGATATTGTGGTTTAGAAGCTTGTTGACTACGAAGCGGATACTTATACTTAGTGGTTTGAGCTTTTTGGTTTGCGAATTTTAGAGTGCTGGCATATGTCTTATACCCTGATTTTGAATGCTCTTTACTTGGTTTCACAGGATGCTCTTGGACGCACCCAGGGCATGGCTCACGAGGAAGTTTCGGTAGCTGGTGATAAGGCTAATCAGATGAGTAGTATAGGTGAGGAGAGATTGGAGCAAGCGAAACAAGCCGTATCAGAGGCTGCAGAAATATCCTCCAACCAAACTGTGAATGCCATGGATGTTGCTGGGAGCATATTGCAGCAGGCAGGGAGTGCATTGGAAAATGTAGCAAAGAACCTGAAGGATGCGGTCACAACCAGTCATTAAATGCGGAGGTGGTAGGGGTAGGACTAAAGCTTGAGCTCACTTCTGCATTGTAACTATTACAGATTGATTTTGTTTTGTGTTATTCACTGCAACTGATTTGAGCACATTTTATGAATGCGAACAGTCTTGTTGATTTATCTTCTTGGTTTTTTTCTGTTTGGTCAAGATTAATGTGGCGACAGGTAATTTTTTGCAATTGAAGAATACTAATGCTGTTTGGGAATGCGATTCATTGATTTCCGTGGCCATACTGCTCGTGGAAATTCTATCTAATCTGCTAACGTGCTTGATGTATATAAAATGAATAATTTATTGAGTCGACCCGTACCGAATGCTAGTACTTTCACTGCGTGATATTCAACGTAGGATTTGAAACAAATGTGAAGCTCGAATAAAATGGAGCGTTTTGTCATGCGATTAAAAACAAATGATTAGAATGGTTGAGCTGAACTAAACATAATCTTGTTCTGGACAGAACATACTCCCCCTTTCTGATGGTCTTCATGTAAGCACTACCGAGCAGATTTTTATCATACGAAGAAATATTTTCAGCAATAATGCTATAGATAATTTGACGTTAATTTAACTAGAGGAAAATGTCTGGAAAAATTTCACCCGATTCACCTCGTTCACATGTTGGCTATGATTCCGGATCTACCCCTTTGACCACCTCTTCATCTCCATTCACGTTATGGCCACCATCTTCTTCGCGAAGTAGTAGTTGAACATGTTCTGAATGAGATTCGTCTCCACTAATGGTCGAGTAGAGGAGGCGTCCCACGAATTTTGATCGTAGGTCATCAAATCATTTCTGAACACGCGGTTTTGCTGGAACCCCTGGAGTTCCACCTGTTCACAGTGGAATGGTCGGTTACCAGGAAAGCAGTGATTGTGTTTGTAGGGGCAAGGGCCTGCAACTCGTTGATGTGATTCAAGGATCTGACCGTCCAGAATTGTGTCATCGACCGCTTTGCGGTGAGTGACGCCAATGACGCGAGAGCCGGTGAGATCGACCATCTCCGACGAAGTGGCTGTAGGTTTCATGAGGTTATCAATCACGATATTCATAAGATGTGTGCCTTGGTTGGAGATAATTTCTGATGGGCAGCCAAAGCGGGTGATGATGTGTTCAAAGATGAATTCCTCACTGACTATGGCTATATTTGTGCAAAGAGGCTTAGCTTCAATCCAAAATGTTTGTGGCTACCAAAATGTATTTGCAACCATTTATGCTATGCTATTGGGCTGATAGGGCCAATGAAATCCAATTTCCAACATAGGAATGGGCTAAGAAGTGCCATGGGGTGCAATGAGGGTTTTTTTCCTAGTTTTGGAATATTATTGTAGCAAATTAGCATGCATAGTATGAGTGGACATATTGGTGTATAATTCAATGTAAATTGGACCACCAATACTTTGCCTTAAGAATGTTTTAGATTGTAGTCTCAATGCCTTAATGTCCTTTGAAAGGACTATTGTGCATAGCATCTAGAACCATAACTTGTTTTTGGTTGCAACAAGTAGAGCATTAGTACGTAATCTAGGCCTTGTTTATATAACTTTCCATTGATTATTGTATATGGTAATGAATTCTAAATAAAATTAATTTCATAGCTGCAAGATAATTCAAAGAAAACGTGATTGATTGTATAATAATTAATCAAATTATTCTTCCAAATATTTATTGGAGACATGGATGTAGTAGTAATATTATAAATTTTGAAATAAGCATCATTAAAAGATTTATCTATAATTTCAAATTCTTTGGATGATCTTGCATGAGAGAAGAAATTGGCAATGACATATTAATGGCCAAGTATGTAGATGATGTCAAAATTATATTTTTAAGTAGCATTATTCGTTGTGCCACTTGAATTGTAAGTAGCAGCTAAATTAAGAAGTATGTTAAGTTATGGTGATCCACCACAAATTGAATTTTTTTTCTAAATAAATAGTGTTGGAATTTCTTGACTATATAAATTGTGGCTAGGGCTTTGGATTCAATAGTTGAGTAATTGCATATTGTAAAATTAAGGAGTATATTAGCATATGTTATAGGTTGATCTGCTCTTTTGTCAAATTATAGGCTAACATTATCTTTGATATAATATTAGAAGCATATGTATGGATATAAAATGGCTGAGTCCTATTGAAAGCAATTGATATTGGATGATTTGTATAAATTAAATAATTCTTTTTAAAGCCTCTTGCACTTTGGATGTTCAATGTTTTATATTTGTATAATTTCATCAATTTAGTGCAATAATAAGAACTATAATTTGTGCAAAGTTCTTTACAAAAGTATAATTGAATGGAGAGATACTACAAAACTATTGTATGCCTTTTTGGTCTTGGGATGGTATCATATTGACAATGTCATAAAGTTTTTCAAGAATCAATAATTTTTCAAGATTACAAACTACATATCCAAGTATGACTTCCCCAACAAATAGAAATATATATTTGTTCACATTCACGCTCACCTTATATCATTGGCTAGCTTAAAAAATAAGTCGTAAGTATTGAATATGGTCTATAGTCTAATCTTATGCAGTACCATCATTTAAGAAAATCTTAAATTTTTTCTTTGAATAAGATTGTAAGATTAACTCTATGATCCATTGGAATGTCATTTTAACTCTAAAGGCCATATATTCAAATTGATATGGTCTCCACTTGGTACAGAAGGTTGTTGTCATAATGTCAGTTATTTAATAGTTAAATAATAGGCATTTATGGTAACTAAAAACTATACCACCGAATGAGTTGAAGCTAATTTTCTTTGCACAAATATATCTATTGTCATTATAGAATTCATCTTTGAACACAACATCATCAACTTTAATTGCCCATAAAAAATTATGTTTGATCAAGAAACATATTTTATGAATACCATGATTCATAACTTGATGCAACATCACTTATTTAAACATTGCACTTTGATAATCTACTACCTACAAGAAAATGGTATGAACTAAAATAAACCTTGACTAGTTTGAAGTTTATTCTAATTCACAAGTATATTAACTATGAAAATTTTAGAATTTTTAATTCTTCTTTAATCCAAATTAATTTACTATTAAAACTTCTTACTTCATCTAAGTAGTCAATCAACTTCTACCATTAAATCACACTTTCAATGGTAAATCACTCATAAATTGTATGCTAAAAATCTCTTTTCTTAATTCTAAATTTATGTCGTTATTTATTGATTTTAAAATTAAATTAAATTAAATTAAATTTTAATTAAAATTCATTCATTAATAAAAAATCATCTATGAATAAAAATTCATTTGTGAATAATAATTCATCTATGAATAATCTTTCATCTACTAAAATTCATCCAAACATTAATTCATCCAACATTATATTGTCCAAATCCTAATTTGTTCTATCCCTGAATTAGGATTTTAAAATCTTAATTTAATTCATCTAAATCTAATCTACTCGTGATGTCATTGCCCTGGAGTCCTCACCGAGCTGGAAGGAGTGCCGCGTTGGTCGGACTGATGTGAATCGACTCCACCGCAATCTACCATGCTCCGCAATCCTTGCTTGTACGCCTAGTTACTAGACAAGCTGTGACAGAGATTGTCCAACGTTTGACATGAGATTTCCCGCCTTACGTTCTATCCAAGGTTATAACTCCAACGCCATCGATGTCAATCCATAGCAATTGTATTCTTCCTCATTGACGGCTCTAACATGTCCCTGCTAATTCTAAAGTTTCTCGCAACTCCACGTAGTTGGCTGCCTCGAAGCACAATCAATACCACCAGCAACTCCAAGGTACAAAATTTCACTGCACAACACCATAGCATCCAAATCCATGGCCTTCCACAAGGTCACAAGGAGAGAGAAATAACAAGGACAACAATTCCAACCACCATACTTTTAACCTCCTTTGAGCAATTGAGGAAGAAAATGGAAGAATAACAACCGACGGGTGCTACCGCAACCTGCAATAGAACTAGAACACAACCGGCACCAAACTACAATTACCCTCACGAAACGAGAGATCACGGTGCAAGAATCTCTCAACAACATGATGACTTGGTGACTTGGTGCCTTGATCAAGGCTACATTAGTGGAACCGTTTACACAATGTCAAGACATGTGCCCCGATCGACGAGGAACTACAGAATCACCTCAAATACATAGACACCGCCACTACACCGATGGCCACCAATATGGTGTTTTGGTGAGGAAAGGTGGCCAATTCAGATTGACAACATGAGAAGGATTAATCAATTAGAGTTCAAAAGCACCGGAAATTTTTGCAACCAATTACAATGAACAAAAAATAAACACACTGTGGCATTCTTGGCATCAATTGATTCTAGTTGGCAATATATTCATCGGCATAAAAATCAACACTTGTCACAAAGGAATACCAAGCACACTTGTTGCCAACCATAAGGGGAACAAGCCGTATAACAAAAAATAGATGACGACTGCTTTGGGTGACAATATCAACCGCTAGAGGATAACTGCCACGCAAGCTTCACTGACTCACTGACCGACGGGATCTACCTTCCAGACCTCTCTCGGTGACCACTTCAATGTGTAGTCACCGCCTTCTCAGCACGACACCCCGTCATGTACTGCGACTCCACCCCACCAAGAATTACTCGAGAAGAAAATAAATTGGTGCAGTAGGTACCGCCGCACTACACAATTCTGAAGCACTACAATCCACCACCATGCACCAGCTGCAAGGATGTTGCAATCGCCTCCACCGGCGATGCAACCGCAATGAAATAATACACGCAAATTAAAATTGGTAGAAAACCACTTGAACAATGCCATCGATCTTTTCGACCAACCGCAACCACTTTCACCGGAAAGCACTACCATCCAACGTCTAGACGTCAACTCATGCGTATTCTCAGCCACCGAAACGGAAACGTGCAAACTGGATGAGCCTCGAATGTACCAAAGCCACAGCCACTATTGTTGAAAACGTCATTATTATTAATATGATCAATTGATACACAATATATATATTGTGAGTACCACTGTTACACCAAGAGTCACAACGCTTCTCACAACTCTTCTCACAACTCTTGTGTAAGGTCAATACAGAGTAGATAGTATTCTACACTAGATACTAGTGTACTATATAGTATAATTCTCCCAATACGCCCACTAATACATTAATCTTCATCCTCGAATTAGACTTCATCTATTGCAAAAGTTCATTCATTATAAGAAATATGTATGAGAAATATAGGATTTCAATCTCCTTTTTGGATGTTGCATTGATGTAGAGCTCTCTTGCAGCTCTCCCACCGCTTCTTCAAATCTGAGAAGGTATGTGTTTCTTTGTTGATTTTGAACTGTTGTTAGATTGTGTTTTATGATTGCTTCATGCACACACCTTTTTTGTTTCAAAGATGTTTTCGCTATTGTTGTTGGAGGCGTTGGTACTATTGAAGATTGCTGCCGCCATGAAGATCGGCTCTATTGCTTACGTATACATTGATAGGGGGCTGGTTGTCGATGTAGGCACCTTTATGGGCTTTGCAATGGAGTCGACCATTGATGCGGGGTCGGCCATGGCGGGCTCTGCTACTGCAATGGAGTCGATCGTGGCGGGCTCCATTGTTGCTGTGGTAGGCTTTGCTATTGCAGTGGAGTTGCCAGCCAATGCAAGATCGGCAGTGGCGGGTTCTGTTGCTACAGTGGCGTCAATTTGTGTATTTTGATATTTTATAGATTTGGAGTGAGGTGGCTTACTATGTGTTCTCCCACTCCATGATGTATCAAAATATGGTTGTTGTAGAAGGTTTGGTGATTTTGAGTAGATCAGCAATGCTTGAATTGTTGTAGAATAGGTTTCTTGTTTTGAATTGAGAGAAATAGGATACATGCCTAGTTGAGATAGGCACTGAAAATGTTTCTCTTTGGGAAGAGATTTTGTAAATATATTTGCTGTCATATGTGTGGTTGATACATATTATAATTTAATTTCCTTGGCAAGTATCTTTTCTCTTGTGAAATGGTATTGTGTATCCACATGTTTGCTTTTGGAGAGATATTTTGGATTTTCACTGAGAGCAATTGCACTTTGACTGTCTGAGTATATGATGGTGGGTGCATGTTAAAGGAATCCAAGTTCATGTAATAATTTTTTCAACCATATGGCTTCAGTGGTTGCTTTTATTAAAGCCATGTAGTCTGATTTTGTGGATGACAAAGCAACAAATTCTTGTTTCTTGCTGCCCTAAGAAATAACTCCTCCAGCTAGTAAGAAGCAAAAGCCAAAAGTGGAGCGATGGGTGTCCTTATCACCTCTCTAGTCAACATCAGGATAACCATGGAAAATATCACCCTGAGGTAATTGTTAATATTTTATTCCGAAGGATAATGTGCCTTTTATATATCTCATAGTTCTTTTCAAAGTTTGAATATGTGTAGGTCTTGGTTTAGAGAGATATTGTGCTAAACTATTGATAGCATAAGCATAATCGGGTCTAGAATTAATAATGGTATTTATTAAACTGCCAACAACTTGAGAATAGGGGTAATTAGATAAAGTAATAGGGTCTTCATTACTTAAACGAATTCTTGGCTGAATTGGGATGCTTAATGGATTGGAATTCAACATATTAAATTCATTAAGTTTATTTGTTAAGTATTTGGTTTGATAGAAGATGATCCATCCTTCTTTTCAATTTCTTAATATGGCATTGCTTAAAGTATAATGGATTTTTCTTTCATCAAACATGTCAAATTCTTGTTAGAGAATATCTTTGACTTACTGAATTAAAGGGAGCTTGTTGCTGTGAAGAATACAGTCATCAACATAAACTGTAATTATGATAAAATCTTGATTATGTTCTCTTTTGATGTATATATATGCATCTAATTTGAGACATTGGTATTTATGAAGGAATAAGTATTGATCTAATTATTGATACCATATTTTAGATGATTGTTTAAGACCATATAGGGATTTATTTAATTTACATACCTTATTAGTATGTATAGAGGATAATCCTTTAAGAATAATCATATAGATGTCTTCTTCTATAAAACCATTTAAAAAGGGTGTTTTAACATCTAATTGATGTATTTCCAAATTATGTTGAGCGGTTAAAGCAAGAAGAACTTTGATAGAGTTAAGTTTGACTACAGAAGAGTATGTCTTTGTGTAATCAATACCTTGAACTTGGGTGAAACCTATAGCAACTAGCGTTGCTTTATATTTTTCAATAATTCTATCAACTTTAGTTTTGATTTTAAAAATTCACTTTGAACTGATTGATTTTTGATATGGAGGTAAATTTGTCATAAGCTATGTATTGTTCTTGTTTAAGGATGTAATTTCAGCATTGATTGCTTGTTGCCATTCTTGAGCATCAATCCTCTCAATTGCTTCTTGAATGGAGTTTGGAGCTTTTAGGTGAGTAGAAATAAGGTGGGTTTGGTGATGTCAATTACATTGTCATTTATATTCTTTTCTATCTTGTATAGATTACAACAATCTTGTGGTTGGTTGAATAACTCTTTTTGGTCTAGAAATAGTAGGAAGATTTGAAGCCTTCAATGTGGAATGTACTTCATCATCTGGAAGAGATAAGGCCTCTTGATGATTTGGTAATGATTGTTGAAAGAAGTCTTCTATGACATCAATGTGAGAAGGGGGTTGTTCTCCCACATTTGAAGGAATATTATGTATTGGAGATTGATCAAATACATATGTTTCTTGTAGTAGTGATATTGATGTAGAAGACATGCCTTGAAAAAAAAAGAAGGATTTGCTCATTGGTCCTTTTTGTTATTGAAGGGTGTTTTAATAATTCTAAATCTAGTAATAGTTCTTCATTGTTCTTTTGTAAGTATGGGATTGTTTGTGGATCATGTAGATTCTCATTGAAGAGAACATCTCTTGAAATAAGAATTTGTTGACTTTGTATATTCATAAGTCTATAGGCTTTAGATTCTTTACTATAGCCTAGAAAGATAGCCTCTTGTGAATGAGAGTCTAACTTCTGTCTTGTTTCTTTAGGAATGAATACATGAACTTTACAACCAAATATTTTAAGGTAGGATAAATTTGGATGTCGTTTGTACCATAATTCAAATGGTATTTTAGTAACTTCTACATATTTTGTAGGGCTCCTATTTTGGAGGTAATTTGTTTTTGGGAGTGCTTCACTTCAAAAATTTTTAGATAAGTTTGAATAGGATAGTATTGCAAGTACTGCTCCTATTAATGTTCTATTTTTTCTTTCAAAAATACCATTTTATTGTGGTGTATAAGCTGCAATATATTCTTGTTTAATACCTTCTTTTTTACAAAAATCTTTAAAATCATTAGATGTATATTCACCTCTACGATCAGATCTTAAGGTTTTACTTTTGAAACTTGTTTGTTTTTCTACAAATTTTTTGTATAAGGTGAATTTATCAAATGCTTCAAGTTTGTGTTTCATCAAATACACTTGGCAATATCTTGTTAGATCATTAATAAATGTGATGAAATAAGTATATCCTAAATGTGTGCCTACTTGCATAAGTCCACAAATGTCAGAGTATATAAGTTCTAACAATCAGGTAGCTCTTTGTGTACCTTACGTAGGAAACTTTTCTTTATATTGTTTACCTTCTATGAAAGGTTGGCATAAGGTAATTTTTCTTTTATCAAAGGAATCAATCCTCTTTGCCATGGTTTGTGTTTGTTAGAGACTTTGAGGATTTATGTGTTCTTATCTTAGGTGCCACAAATCAACTTTATTTAATTGTGTTGTTGCTAGAATAGCAATTTGAGGCTTGTTTGAAAGTATAGTTGTACCTAATTCTTATAAATCAGGGTTTAATTTTCATATTGTAATGGTTTGACCAAATTTATTTAAAAGAATAGTAGTGCCAGCTCTTATGCAAATTTTTCCTCCTGTCTTATCTAGTTCTTTGGTAGAGAATAAATTCTTTGTAAGTCCAGGTATGTATAATACATCAGATATGATCTTCTCATCACCACTTGTAAGTTTGATATTTATATCACCATGTCCTTCTATTATATATGATGTAGTACCATCTCTTAAATAGACAACTTGTTTGTCTTTATGTATGATGTATTTAACAAATCCTTCTAACTCATGACACATATGTTGAGTTGCTCCCAAGTCCACATTTCACATTGAATTTGGATTTTCTTTAACTATAAGTGCTGCCATATATAGTTTATTTGTTTAGGTAACAACATTTGTTTCTTTTTTATTATTACAATTTTTAGTTGCTATTCTCGTTCTGCAATCTTTGATCAAGTGACCTGTTTTCTTGCAGAAAAAATATTTCTTAATAGCAAAATTGCTCTTTTCATGTGGTTTGGAGGTACTACTCTCTCCTTATGAACTTCTCCTGAAATTCTTATTAAAATAAGATTTCTTATTATTATCCTAAATTTCTTACCTATATATAAGGCTGAATTATTATCAGATGTTAAATTCATGTTTTTCATGAATGTTTCTTCTTGGATCAATTTTTTTTTATCAAGGATGTTAATGTAATCCTAGGCTGCCTTTTTAAGGAGCTAATGAAGGATCTATAACTTAGAGGCAAACTTCTCATTAAAGTGAGAATTGCTTCATTATCTAGAATTGTTGATCCTACTGCCAACAATTGTTCCATATGTACTCTAAAGGTATGTATGTGTTTAATAACACTATCACCTTCTCTCATTTTTAAGGTGTATAATTTGTCTTTTAAATACATCTTAGTTACTACATCATGATTCAAATATTTTTACTAATTCTTGCTATGCTGAATTTGTCAATGTGCAAGATTGTATATGTCAAATAATATTGTTTTTTAGGCAATTATTAATTATAGTTAAAGATAAGGTATCCTTGTCTATCCATGCGCTTATACTCCCTACTCTTGTGGCAAGTAAAGCTGGAATTTTGGTAGCTATTTCAGCTTCCATTGATTCTACTGGTAAGAGTTCTTCACCACTTACTATAGGCCATAACTTTTCAGCCTTGAAAACTAATGTTAGTCTATGTTTCCATATGTTAAAATATAAACCATCGAATTTTGGAACATGATTAATGTCCACTTTTTATATCATCTTCAATATTTTTAATTTAAAATTGAATTGTAATTATTTATAAATTTGTTTTTGATCAATTCAATTTTATCTTTGCTTATGGTTTGTATGTTGCTATTTTCAAGTCTCAAATTACTTTTCAAGGTTTGATGAACTTCAAGTTCTTCATCAACCTTTGCTGTTATAATAAATTGTATTGATATTATTTTTATTATAAACTATTTTTATAATTTCAGCAATTATTTTCCTAATAAAGCATTCACTAAAGCTTATTCTGAGAATCAAATATTTCTATAGCTCTAATACCATGTTGAAAATGTCATTATTATTAATATGATCAATTGATACACAATATATATATATATATATATATATATATATATATATATTGTGTGTACCACGGTGATACCAAGAGTCACAATTCTTGGTGTAAGGTCATTATAGAGTAGATAGTATTTTACACAAGAGACAAGTGTACTATATAGTATAATTCTCCTAATAACTATTGAATTGCTCTTGTTTCTGTGAATGCTCCAAATACAAACCAACTCTCAACAACAAAGTGAAGGTACTTGAAATTGATTGACGCCTAGCGATGTAGTCTCCACAACACACTAAAAAATAAGAAGACAAAAGTAATATGCTGTCGTCACCACCAAATCAGTAACCATACCATGCAGCTCGAAAGAACATCGACGAGGACCACCACTTTCTGCCACACTCTAGGAAGAAAAAACCAGAAAAAAATAAGAACAAACTGGTGTAGCCTTTCCCACACAACCACACCTATAATAAGCACACTGAAGTAGAGGCACACAACTCATAGATTCTGCCTCATGCGGAGCTCCTTTACTATCACGAGAGATCAATGTTGCAATCTACAATTGCAATACAACTCTCGCTCATCAAATCTTGACTTTATTCAATCTCA